AGGGTTCGTTGCGGGCTGCCGCTGGGTGAGCAACGTCCGAGAGGCTTTCCGCTCGCCAGAGGGATCCTTAAAAAAAACCCCAAACCACAAAACCTCGTAGGACTCTTTGTTTGAAGTTACTGGCCGGCATGTGGTCCAGAACATCCTGTAGCTGTTCTCTGAAGTGATTAAGAGAGTTGAGATGCAATTCAAGAAGTTAAGATCAGAGGGCTGGAGCACCTCTTCTATGAGGACAGGCTGAGAGAGTTGAGGTTGTTCAGCCTGGAGAAGAGACGACTCCAGGGAGACCTTATAGCAGCTTTCTAGTATCTGAAGGCTGCCTACAAGAAGGCTGGAGAGGGACTTTTTACGAGGGCATGTAGGGATAGGTTGAGGGGTAATGGCTTCAAACTAAAAGAGGGGAGATTCACACTAGAGATAAGTAAGAAACTTTTTATGCTGAGGGTAGTGAAACACTGGACCAGGTTGCCCAGAGAGGTGGGAGATGCCCCACCCCTGGAAACATTCCAGGTCAGGTTGGACGGGGCTCTGAGCAACCTGATCTAGTTGAAGACATCCCTGATCATTGCAGGGGGGTTGGACTAGATGACCTTTAAATGTCCCTTCCAACCCAAACTATTCGATGATTCTATGAAGTTGAGTTATGCTTTCTCGCCACAATTGAAAAATTTAACTTTGTGGTAATAGATTATTTACTGATTGTGATGCTTTGCTAGAGCTGATCTCAATCTGCAGAGTTTTCTCTGAAACTGCTGAGGAAAATGCCACTTCCCTGCCAGAAACACAGAAAACCTGCCAAAGCCCACAGCTGATCCTGTGCCCAGGGAGCTCTCGAGCACCCAAAGGCACCTGAAATTCCTGGTGTGAAGCCTCAGAGGCTGCAGGCAGGCACTCCATGCTGTGGGAGCGGTAGGGGGAGCGCCCATTAATTCTAAACTTCTGTTAATCACTGTTGAAGGAAGCGGGGAAAACTTTTGGTGTAACAGCCTCATCCCCTTGCTTTAACTTGTATAAAGCTAAGCAAGCTGTTGGAGATAACCTGAAGGTGTGTGTGGTTAATCTGATGAGACAACTGAAGAGATTGCTGGGAAGAAAAAAAAAAAAAGGAAGAGAGTAACGAACTTATTGATCTTCCTGGAGGGACTTTAGCTTTGCATCAAAGCCGAAGTAAAAGTTAACTTGCAAGCAGGTTTTTATTTAAGGAAGCTATGTTTGTGAAGTTGTAAACTGCCTACAAAGATAGGTTTTATACTCTGCATTTCCATTTTGAACCTTATTCTTAACTCATTTTTCTTATGGTGCACTTTCCAAAAATATAATATTAGAAGTGTGACTCGGCATTAAGGAAAGAACAAAACTAGTGGACAGCATCCTCTTTTGTACTTGTGAATTACATGAGCAAATGTTCACCAGCAGGTTAGTGATTTATTTTTTTTAATTACCATTAACATGAAAGATGGGCAATGCACAGTTAGCAAGTGGTGAAGCTTGCTATTTAATGCCTGATTCTAAACTTTACTTACTGCATGCTGATCAAACTGTCCTTTGATGTCACCAGTATTAATTTCCTATGTGCTTTTCTTGATACTCATTGCTGTGGTATAAGAGAAGCACAAGCATTCGTTGTCATAATACTTTAGACAGGAACATGGAATTTCACAGTTGTGGTACTTGAGTGGAAGCATTTTAACCTTTGGGATACAAAGAATTTGATTTTTCAGAGTACAGTCTAATAAGCTGTATGACAGCAAAATTTCTGTAGAAGCTCACACCCCTCATTGGCTTGAGCTGTGGATGAATACGTAGTATTTCTTTGTTTTGGGACATTTGGATTAGCATCACATAGTAATCCTGCAAAATACAAGAATGGATTTTAGTTCTCTAGAGTGACATTCAATTATGGAAACATGAAATGCTCTGTTCTTTCTTTAGCCTTCTTTTTCTTGTCTTTGTCCCAAATTCTACACAAGTGAGGCACAATACATTCAGGAAGACTGTTCTGCACAGTTCTCATACATCTTCAGAGGAGTTCCTAGCAGTTTAACGAATAAAATGGAAGATACTTGGAAAAACTGTATGTGATCAAATTGTTAATATATACCTTAAATTGTGCACACAGAGGTTTGACTTAATTTCATACAGAAGTGCTATAATTTTATAGGCTTTTAGTACCTCAGTTTGTGGCCTTGATGTTTCTAATATTTTTCCTGTCTTTATATCTTTCCTGTCCTAGCTTTAAAAGAGACTGTTTCCTCGTATGAAACACATAGTTTAGTGGCAGTGTTGAAACTTTGCGATCTTCAGTACAAACCTCTTCCACTTGGATTAATTAAAATGACAGGGCAGACAGCTTTGGATTGATATTGGGACATTTTCACAGTAGATTTTGTGATTTTGCTCAACTGTGGGACTCGGCTCTTTCCCCATCCTGTGAGGTGGCTGTCCTCTCATCAAGACTGGCTCTTCCTCATTTTCTTTTTTTTTGGCTTGCCTGTGTTCCAAGTTGTTTCTCAGCCCCACCCCAGTCTCCCTATTGACTGTTCCCCGTCCTATCTCTCATCTGTTACTTCTCTGCGCTCGTTTCTTTGCCTGACCAGTTAACAGCTCTTCCTGTTCACCTCAAGTGTGTTCCCAGACCTCTCTGATTACCATTTTGGTCTTTGCCTCTCTTCTGATCTTAGTCTCCACCTAAAACTAAATACCTTTCTCCTCCATGCCGTAAAATAAGTCTGATTCCTTGTCCTAATTTATTCTGTTTTCTCTGTCTGGGTTTTGTACCTTATCCTTTGAAATCAGACAATTCCCTGAGATTTTTGTCTCCTAGAAAGGATGGAATGGCAATCACCGTGCTCAGTGAACAGAACTGGAGAAGCTGGATCTGCCTCTAGTGCCTGTCCCCTTGCAAGCAGAATCAATTACTGTGATCTGCCTGCTAGTTTCTGGTAGCACCAGTCTTGTACCTAGACAGCCTAATAACATGTAGCGCCTGTGCATTCTCAGTGGGGTAGGATGATGAAAAGTTTCAGTGTTAAGGTGAGCTTAGTTCTGAGTTTCCCCTGAGAACGTGCACCCTACTGCTTTTTTAAGGCTTAAAAAAATCAATGGTACCGGCAAAAGACTAATCCAACTGGGCTTTGACTTCTTGCTTCGAAGTACCACAGTGTTAAAGTGGGTGTTAAAGTGCTTAACTGGAAGGGAGGCATTTAATTAGGGCAAATGATATAGTTTTGTCCGTTTCTCTTCTTGGAAGTGGTTGAATCAAACAAAAAAGAAAAGTCTGATGCAGGCATGTTGTATGGAAAGTATCCCTCTGATACTTAATTTCCAAAGCACTAATTTTGTAGATGCTGTCATGAAATCTACTTGGGATAACATGCAAGATCTTTCAGGGTCTGAGCGTGGGGATCACTGGTTCTGGAAAGAATAAATCATTTGAAGAGTTTTATGTTGAACATATAAGTGATAGTTCCTGAAAGTACTAGCCATTCCATAAGTGATGGGATCGTGACGGGTATTTTGGCATTTCTTATTAAACAGTAGTCATTACTTTAAGATTGTTATCTTATTGTTTGTAATCTCTCAAAACAGACTGTTAGTTTCTTAGTGAAGTGCGAGTACAACATTCACATTGTATATGTGGATGCTCACCAGAATTTTACCATGTAGCATCCAGAATGAAAAAAAATTTCAATATTATTTTATTGGGTGCAGTCAAGATGTCTGGTATTTTCTTTTTTTTTTAGTAGTGTCCTTTTGTTCTGTTTTCCAGAAAAAGAACAGTCAATAAACCGAGCTGGTATTGTTCAAGAGGATATTCAGCCTGCAGGTATACTTGATTCATGTGTTTGCATTGATAGTTTTAAAGATCTTCTTGAAGTAAAACCTGAATATTTATATAGGTTCAAATAATAGTGAAGAATACATATATAATAAACTTACCATGAAAATTTTTTTCAGGCTAATTCTTCACTTGAAAACTATGTATGTAATAAAACTTGTTTTAAATTGACCTAATTGGCCAAATAAGTTGTAGAGATTCTGTTATCTTCACATTTTCTTAAATAGATGCCAGTTTCCACACCAGAAATTAAGTTCTGAACCAGCTCAGAGCAAACAAGAACCATGGGTGGGCTGAGCTCTCGCTGTAAAAAATACTCTGTTGCATGCTGGTTTTGTGGAATACTGCTTTACAACGCAGCTGAAGCATGGTTTGTGAGTGCTTTGTCAGTACCTTCCGGCCTCATGGGTGGAGAGATGAGGCAGAAATCTGCTACACGTAAAGGAAAATTTGGAATGCAGTACTAATAGCTGTTTGATCCCTGCTGTTGCCAGTAGAAGGCGTAGAAAAAGCATATGAAGGGAATAAAAATGGCACACCATCCTTGATAGTCCATCGTTTCATAGGTAATGGAATGGGTTATTCATTATGCAAGGTTGGCACTTCTCGTTTAAAGACATGAGAGCGCTTGTCTTGATGAAACAGTTCATATCTGAGCATGTTAAAGGGTAACTTATTCCTATTTTTAGAAAAACCTAACATCAGCAGCAGGGGAAAACCAAATAGGATTAATGCCATGTCCTTACTACACATATCAGTTAAATCATCAGCGCAGGAATTACTTTCCAGGAAAGTGGTGAAATGCTGAAGAAGAGTAGGAAGGGTATTGTGAAATAGAAGTCTGGTAAACCTGCCATTTTTAATTAAACATTAAAGAGGACTGGATGGGTTCAGGGATGCAGGTACTTGATGACCAGTTCTGTGCATTACAAATTTTTTGTCTAAATTTAGCTGCTGATGAGAAGTTACGAGATCCGCTAGTTGAAAGTGAAATCTAGACAAATTCAAGTGCAAGGTGCAATTCTAGATGGTTGTTCCAACAATATTAGAACACTGTACCTATGAGTGTGATAGATTTTTCCATTATCTGAAGCTTAACATCAAGATGAGGTTGTCTTTCTCAGTAATTTTGCAGGCTTAAACAGAGGCGTGACTTCAATGCAGAAATTGTTACATTCTTTCCTTGTTTCGTACACAAGGCTGGAGTAGCAGACCAGTTACTTTGTTTCTCCAGCAGTCTAGTTATGAACTGCTGGTATTCTCATATTTGATTTGTAGGGTTAAAAGTGTGGTCTGATCCATTTGGAAGAAAGTAATGTTGGCGGCTGGGTGTATTGCAAGACAAAACTGAAGATGGACATCTTCAGCTGTTTCTTCTTTCACTGAAGTGTGTCTTTGGGTGTCGCTGGAGAAGAATCCTGAATATGCTGTGTGGGCACGTGAGAAGCAACAAACGCTACTGATTGGAATCCTAAGAGATAAAAAAAGTGCTAGTTTTGACAGAGGATGCTGGGGCACAGTGCACAGACTATTAGAGAGCTGAATGATTCTTGAGTTTAGAAGTGAAATATTTATTTCCTTGAGAAAAGGGAAGAGGAATTATTTTTGTGGTTAACCTGTAAACACTTGTAGAATAAATTATGAATAGAATAAATCATGCAGACCGCTGCAGTTTCCTCTCTAGTTTGAGAATTACTATTTGTGGTTTTATTATGAAAACGTGATACAAGTATATACTGAGAGATCAGTGCAGAAAATATAATGCGTTGAGTGTAAATTTGTACATTAAAATGTCTTCCTTTTAAACCAATGTGTATTTTTTTCATTTGTTCTACAAGTAGCTGTGGCTGGTTGTGGCTGGATGCCAGGTGCCCACCTGGTGTCTCTCTCACTCCTGTTCCTCAATGAGACAGCGGGAGAACATAGGATGACAGAGCTTGTGGGTCTGGATAAACAAAGGGAGATTACTTACCAGTTACTGCTGCATGCAAAACAGACAACCTGGGGAAAATTAATGTAGTTTATTGCCAATTAAAATAGATTTGGATAGTGAGAAAGAAAAAACCCCAAAATTAAAGTAACACCTTCCCACTGCCTCCTTTTTTTCAGGATAAACTTCACTCCTGAGTCCTGTTTCCTTCCCCCTGGTCCCTTCAGCGGTGGATGGGGCGGTTACACTCAGTTCCCAGGAGTTCTGCTGCTCCTTCTTCCTCACGCTTCTCCTCTGCTTCTGTATGGGCTCTTCATGAGCTGCAGTTCCCTCAGGAAATACCCAGCTGTGCTGGTGTGGGCTCCTCCCCAGGCCGTGGTGTCGATATCTGCTCCAAGGTGGTCTTTTCCATGAGCTGCAGGGGAATATCTGCTCTGTTGCCTGGAGCACCTCCTCCCCCTCCTTCTTTTCTGACTTTGGCATTCATACGTCCGTGCCTCACTTTTTTCCTCCTCATTCCTCTGCTTGTCTGTTGTTTTCACAAAGGTGCCACCCACTTGGCTGCTGGGCTGAGCTGTGTCATGCAGTGGGTCCTTTGCGGAGCCAGCTGGAACTGTCTGTGGCTGGCAGGGGGCAACTCCTGCAGCCTGCCTTCCTTCCTGCCAAAACCTTGACCAGTACACCTGATACAAGAGGTTAACACCAAATGTTGGGGTGGAAAAGCAGATACTTAAAAAAAATGTTTTTTAAAAAGCAGTTTTTCATGGTAAGCATAATGATCATTAGAACAGGTGAGTAAAGGATTGCCCCTGCTGAAAATCTTTACCCAAATTGGATGTCTGTCTTAATAATAGGTTGTAAATAAACCATGTGTTTTCAGATTTCAAAAGAAAGAAACAGTCTATAACATATAGTTACAGTCTATAACCTAAACAATGCTGTTGAGTACAGGTGTAGCATGTGCATTTAACGTGAATATACTATCTTCTTTTCTTGATTTATTTTTAGCACTTCATTATGGGACACAACATTTTAAAGACTATTGCAGGATCGTGTATGTTATGAAGAATGTATGTGCAATTAGTGTTATTTATAAAGTTAGCAGATGTTAGTTTGTTATTTTTTTCAGACATCGCACAGTTTTGTTAAGAGAGATGAAAGAGTTGACATTTACAGTGTTCTTTTCCAAACTATCATCCTGTTACTTGCTATTCCTTTTCTACCTGTCATTGTCATTCCTCTCCAACTCAGACATGTTTTTTCTTCTGAATTTATTTTTTTTTAACTCTCCTATTATCACTGTAAGCATTACAGTTTGGTTTTTTTTTTTCGTTTGCTTGCTGGGAAAATGTGACCATATTTGATTCTTTTAGCTCTTGGGTGATTTCACATGGTGGCTGAAGTCAGAGTGAGTGTACACATTTACTGTAGGGATGTTGGCAGAAGTTTCACTACACAGCATCGTGCAACACTGTCACAAAGCTGATTTAGTGTTTGCTGGGAAAAGAAGAATTAATTAAACTGACGAAGAAAGAGGTTTTTATCACTTAAACCTTTCTTCAATGAGACTGCAGAAATGAGGTAAAAAAACTGCTGGATCAGTCAGTTTCAGTAAAGTTGTTTCTTTTAAAATACCTTTACAGCAGAAATATAGCATTGCTTAAATGCAGATTGTCCATCTATAACTGACTAGCTGCAAAACAAAGAATTTTAGGAGAAACTGGGAATTGTTCACTAATGCTGCTTCTGTCTCTTGGTGACACAAATGCTTAAAAAACTTACATCGTGGTAATGTGAAACAATTATTAAACCACTCTTTCAGGATAAATGATCTGACAGAGGATATTAAATTACTTAGTATGGAATTAGGAGATAAAATGATCTCTGCTACTCGTTTACTTTGTGAAGTTGAGCAATTTGCTTAGTCTGGATCTTGCCTAGAAAAATGTTAGATGGTTTCAGAACAGTGGCTGTGGCTGGCAGGTGCTGAGCCATTTGCCTTCATATTACTTAAATGTTGCAAAACATTTGAGCACATGAACGCAATTATTTAGCATTTATAGAACTGTACATGTCTGTTGGTCATGATCTCTGTCTAGTTCATTCCAGTGCAAAAACGAGATATGCAAATAAGCTTGGTAAGTTTTGTAATTGCCTGTGCACAATTTGCAGCAGTGCATATCTGTTGAATACTACTGAAGTGAATCTAAACTCTGCAAATGGTGTACATTGGTTTTAATGATCATCACTTCTCATTTGTTGTGTTCCACCTAATAAATTGTGCTGATTGACCGTGTCTTTAAAGTGTTAGGATAGGGAACGTCTTTTTCAAACCTTTGGTATCTGTCTGGATAAAACTAAGTACTCTTCTTGGAAATCAATACAGAATGAAACTGTTTAGTCAACAAGGAACATACCACAATAATTCTCCAGAATTTACACTGAAATTGTCTGTTATTGCTCTGGCACTTGCCAGTTGCCTGGAGATTTGCCTGAGACTCACGTGGGAAGTGCTAATCCTGCAGCTGGCTTTCTGGACTTCGTGACACTGCTTTGTTCTGGTCATGGCTACCGGACATCAGCCTCTCCTTCTCCCAACTACCCAGTGACAGGTGAAGTTGGATGGATAGCAAATTGTGCTCCCCAGGACACTTTCCTTATCTTGCTCTGGAAATAGGAGTTTTTCCTACTCTTGTAGCTTGTGAGAACTATTATTTTTCAACACAACCATACAAAGAAGTTAGATGTTTTATAATTGTTTATAGTTTTATGTCATTATTATTCCTTGGGAGGGACTAGTTTGCCTTTTGCAGAGGAACTGATTTGCTAGTTTTGGTCCACCTGTCCTGATTGTTCTGATAGAAAGTTTGGGACAAAACACTTGATAAAAATGTCTTCTAAGAGTGTTTTTAAAACAGTTATCGTAGCTATATGAATGCATTTTGCTTATTTATTCTAGCTGGAGTATGAACAGCAAATAGAACTTCAGCCTTTGGAGGACTGGAGAAGTTTTAAACAGTGATTCGACATCCCAAAGGAAACATCCGGTTGTACTAAGTTTGGGGCCTGCTGTTGTCTGCTGATAAGTTTTGAAATTATTAAAATGTGTGCCATGATGATCAAGTCTGGCATTTTGGTCTAAACATAGCTTAGTTTTGAAGCATTATAGACTGTTGACGATGCAAGGAAACACTCAAGCAGAAACGCTTCAGGAGGAGTAAATACAGCAGAAGATACTGGCAAGTTGCCAGGTTATACACATGAGAGAGAAAAATGCTTTTTTTTCTTGCCGAATATTGTACTTGGTTTATTGAGATTGTTCCCGCTGGTGGGAGGGGATTTTTTTTTTTCTTCCGTAATACTCAAAGCACATTGAATAGCCTCAACTGATTATCACAAATCTTTCTGTACAGGTGCCCTCCCACAAAAAACAGTCCAGAAAAAGAAGCCATTCTCATGATTTGCAGTTTTCTAACCCAAAATAAATCACATGTATTTTCCCTTCTTGCAGTCTAGCAATAATTAACTTCTCATTTTCTCAGTACTGTGTACCCTCCTACTGACCTTCTTCATGTTAACGTGCAGACACAGCAGTAAATGAAGAGCTGCATTGACTTTTTCTGTGGTGCCACACAGCCCAAATAATGTGTTTGCTAGGGGAAGGAAATGATTTTCCAGCTTCTGAGAAAGTGCTGCAGAATATACAGTTTCCATGTGGACAATGTATAACAGGAGAGAGCAAAAAGCAAAGTGCAGGTCAAAGCATAGCAAAGCTTTCATTTTGACATATTAGCCTATGTTCCGAGGTGTGTTTGCGCATAGCGCAGACTCTGTGGGCCTTGCAAGAAAAATGGTGCAGTGTTTAAGACACTGTCTTGGAAATTAAGACTGTTGTGGTCAGTTCCCTGTTCCACCACTTTTGTCTGGTAGCGGGTAAGTAACTTAGCCTTTGAGCTTCAGTTCCATCTGTAAAATAGCAATAATAGTACTCCCCTTCCTTGCAAGACATGATGAAGTTAAATACAGGGGTGGGGTTTTTCAGTGCTCTAGGAAACATTTTGGGTTCTTGCATGAGAAGTTTTCTTCATGGTTAGGAAAAATAGGTGTGGATTTGTGTGGGAATCTTATATTTTGGTTCCAAGAACTTAATATACTTTGAAAAATCTTTTTCCAAGAGGAAAAAACTTCTGAAATGTCGCAGGACTTTATACTGCTGTAATATTATGCTCTGGATATGGAAATTTTATATTTTGGGAGTCAAACAGAAAACTTGCCTGCTTTTCACAATATTAATGGTTTTTTAGAAGATCTCCAGATATGAGTATAAACTTCTACATGTAAGTTGAAATGCAACCCAATATGAACATTACTACAATTGCACAAAAA